GGACAAAATGCATTGGCATGCTTTTGGGTTTGTCACATTCAGTTGGAGACAGTGTTGTTTTAAAAGGTTATCTTTTAAGCTGCATTACAACCGCACTAGTAGAATAATTTGAATATCATTTTGTATCCACATCGTACAACCCTAAATGAGATGCTTCTCTGTTGTTTATATGCGTATCTTTAACCATGTCAATAAATTTTTTCGGTTGTCATTAGTTTTAATCTGGAGTAAACATGTGTTGCAGCCTGAGTAAACACTGTATTGGCTGAACCAGATCACCTCAGGAAGAAAACCCTGCTCTTGTTTCATCACTGCAACAGAGTCTGTATGTAGCTCTCCTTGTATGGGTTTTCCAATAAGTGAGCAAACTACTACCCGTGATAGCTGTCATTCTTTTAATTTTCCTGTTTGTCGTGTGCAGTAAGACTGAATGACGCTCTGTGGGTCTCTTTAACTCATGCTGTTTCATGCTGTTCGTCCTTTGTTAGATTATGAACATGGTGAGACTCCAGCCTTTTTCTGTCAAACTATCACAGGGGATGGGGGAATGAGAAAGCTTTAGTTTACTCCCTTTACTGAATGAAAACACAAGCATGCACGACTACTTCAAATGCAGAGATTAGGTATTTAGATCAGTATATGGCCTTCACGTTTTTACACGATAATATTGATTCTGCAGAAAGGTTTTTACTTGTTGTACTCTCAACTCTAAGAGACGCTTGGTGCATAGTGCATAATCCAACCAGAAATGGACAACTCTCTAATCCCAGTTTCCATTACTTTTAAATGATGTCTTGACCCCTTGACTAAACCACATTGATATGAAAGCCTCATGAATGCTACAATCATTTTTTAACCATATATTTCCAAGCGTATTTGGTGTCAGAGGTTACTGTAGTAGTATATAAACATAATCGCTGGAAGACGGGGTTGCACAATAATGACTAAAAGCATAATTGATGATGGAAATACATTCATACAGTTTTTAAATTTCCTGCTGACACATGCACTTAAGTTCATCCTGAACTATCGGTTGTTCACAACAACATACAGAGGCCAGTTACAGTATTTATTATGAGCACATGGGCATTCAGCTTGACACTGCCACTGGCTGCAGATGAAGATGAGAAGCATCAACTGACTCTCGTACAGAAGGTTCTGTGGCATCTCAGGGTCCTGCCCGGATGTTTTACTGCCGCTCAGCGGGTTTTTACATACTTTCGTCAAGGTTTACAAGTTTATTATAAAATCTGAAGTGGGTGCACATGTGTGATTTATAGATGCTCAGTGCATCAGCTTAGTTGCAGTTCCCTCGCTTTGGCCGCCAGCTGTTTGAATCAAAGTAGCCACACTTTAAACTTTAAGCTTGACATAATAACCAGAGTGGTTGAATCTCTACTTGCTGATATAGTTCCTGGTGCCTTCAAGTTTTCAGTGTGTGTCTAATATGTTTCATTAACCAGACTCTAGCCATGAAAATATAGACATTTCTTTGAATTGTGTTCACTCTACAGGTCCTGTATGCTGTCATGTCCAGCAAGTTGCATTATAAGATTGTGTTGTCAATGTACATATATGCTTTATAATTAAAGTTAAAGAAAAGTATTTCTAAGCTTGGAACAAAGACTGAAACTAAGTTTGTACAAGACGTTCTGAAACCAGAACTTTTTTTCACTCCTCTGTGTTAGCGTTTCTGCTATGGGGGAGTAATTGGAGGACACAAAAGAAAGGAGGGAGGACAGCATAGAGAAGGAGGAGAGGAGAAGAAAATTGGGACACTTAACTGTGCAGTGTCATAGATTGGATGTCAGTTGATGACTGCAGGCCAATAAATGTTCCCAAATGGATTGTTTCTGTTAGTTTTGGGATGCATGCCATCTTTAAAGCCACTGAAAGTGAGTTGCAGCAGTTACTTGAATGTTGCTTCAAGTAACTGATTTGGGAAAACAAAGTCTGGTTGTTGTGAAAGTTTTTGGGTACCTCCATGCCTGCGTGACATCATAAATGCTATATACATGTTATATATAAAAATATTAAATATAAAAATGTCCACATAAAATCCTTGGACATATTTTAAAGCAGAGGTATACTGTTGGCATTTAACCGAGGAGCTGGGAGCTCCCGTAAAGAACACCTTCATTGTTTCAGTATTGTTTGTTGTGTTACTAGATCTTTGCCGAGATGTCAGTAGAGAAGATTTACAAATGAATGGATACAGATACTTGCACTATATCATGAGAGCTTGATACTGTCAGTGTGTGAGACTTCCCACAGAGTGCATTGAATTACCCAAGAAAAAGCCACTATTTTATCTTTTTTTTACTGCATTGAGGGGGAAATAATGTTCACAGGAATGTGTTTCTGCTCCACCCAGAAGCTTTTGAATACAGGCAGGTGGTGTTTGTGGTTTAGGCAAATGGACCTTGCCTGCTGAGGGAGAATGCGTAGGCTCTCCACCTGCGTGCCTTCAACTGGATGGCATCACAAAACGACTTGTGGAGACTGGTGCTACAGCTGGTTGGGCCTAAAACCAAGTCCACAGCTCTAAGTTTTTTTTTTTTCACAAACTGTAGTTAATTGTCCTATATTGATGTGCAGACTTAACATTTCATCACCCAAATGAGGATTTAAGTCTAATTTACAGTGATGGATTGGGATATTATTAAATTGACCTCATTCCTGTTTGTTTAAATTAGTCTAATAATCACTTGGCACATTTGATGAGCACAGTTGAGAAAAATATCACAAACAAATCCATTTTAAAATGTTTTATCACTGATTTCCACAATACCAAAATTTTTTGAAGCCTTAATCTGGCCATTGAATTTTCAGAAAACAAACCCGTGCATGCTCGCGGGCCATAAAAAATGATAATAAAAAATGTTATTTTTCTCATTGAAAGTATTGCATCTTAATGTGGTTCCAGATTATTTAAAAACCAGATTTCATGCAAATCTGGTCAGGAAAGTGTAGTTGGTGACCTGTTGAGTGTTTAATGGATCACAGAAATGTGAAATGCCCATGGAGTCTGAAAGGAATCTGTGACCTTAAAAAAAACAAAAGTAGGTTCTGTATTCTCAAAAAGAGCATAAACGTTATATTTTTGACTGAATATGATGAGAATGAGTAAAAAAAAAAAAAGAAGTGAGTGCAGTGAAGCGGATTTGGTACAAAGAGCAGTAGCCTTATAAACTTTGACAGCAGAACAGGTCCAGCCTTGATCCTTTCTGTGTGAAGTTTACATGTTCTCCACCTCCTTGTGTGGGTTTTCTCCGGGTCGTCTGTTTTCCACCCACAGTCCGCCCACATGTAAGCCAGGTGGACTGGAGATTATGTGTGAGTGTGATTGCCTGTGTGTTAGCCCGCGCTCTGCGGAGGACTGATGAGCTGTCCAGGACGTTCCCCTCCCTACCACCAGTGCGTTCTGGGGTAGGCTTGCTGTCGTAGATAGAGATTCATGAGGCCTGTATTGCCGCCTTTTGTTCTGCGTGTTTCACAGTTGAAGACTGCACAAGGTTTCTATTTTGAGCATAAGAGGTTTTTACAATGTTTTGAGGTTCCCTCTTCCTGACAGCTTTGTCTGATCTTTTTACGAGGTGTTTTACATGCCAGCGCTCCAAGTGAGAGGTCAGGTGTGACAAAGAGGTAGTTCTGATTAACTGGTAAACTAGTTTTGGAAAAGTTCGAGCTGTGACAGCGGATCGCTGCTGTGTTGGAAACATTGGATAGAACAATAATAAAATAAATGGAAAAATAACATGACAGCTTATTTCTGAATCTAAATATGCAATATGCTGTTTTACACAAACATTTCTGTTATAAATATTACTCATATCGGCACGTCTCATCAGAGTAAACCAGCTGTAGATATATTCTTTGGCTACTAAACTAAACCAAAATATAACACTTTTAGATTTAGTCATAATACTGTGTTTGTAATTTGCAAAGTGCTGACTTATCATGTTCTTCACAGACTAATAGTGGCAAGTGAAGCGCAGACTGATGTCATCTGTTTGCTTTATTATCCTAACTAGCATGGGAATGAACCTCTGTTGTTGTAGCTAAGCCGGACATGTGCTTCTGAATGAAGCAGAGCACACTTCTCCAGCTACAGGAGGGAGCCGAGCTGGCTTCTTCAGCAACAAACGAGAGTTGTGAAATCTTGTAGTGGTGGCAAACAGCCTACTATATGTCAGAGCCCGTGGCCTAGCTGAATAAAATCCTAGGGCAATGTCTTGTCACAACATCCTGCATGACATGAGTATCAGGCTGCCGAAGCTTTTGTATTGTAGTTGTAGAGGACTTCCAATTGGAAACTTCTCTGTTCCTCCCAACAAACTGTCACATTCTGCTAAGGTGCTAATAGCATCTGACAGCAGGTATACAGTTGCAATCACGTGTCAGCATCTGACATGGTAAAGCACACTCCTCCCTTCTCAAGCCCAATCCTGCCACTGTGCACCTCTCTCAGCACTCGTCTTCCTTCAAACGTCCCTGCTTTCGTCCTGATAAGCAGACTTCAACCCAAACATATATCTATTCAGTCGGGGGGATTAAGTGCAGATACATGACATTTTGGGCCATTCCAAGGACCTGAGTCAACGCATAAACAACTCCTACGCTATGTCAGGGAAATATTTATCTTTGCTCATAGAACTTCTTGAGATAGTGTCAACACTGCTTAGAGACACAATTACATTTGTGGATGGAAAACTAAGAGTCCTCATGAAAATACAAGTGTATAATATGAGTAAAGCTGAGAATACTTGTTGAGATACAAGACTATCATACTGATAAAAATGACAACCATGTTCATATTAGATAAAACTCCAAATATCATGTTGTTTCCTTCAGTTTTATTTTGAAATAACAGTTTACTCAACTTACTGGGGCTATTAATAGAGTAAAATTGACACACATGCACAAAAAAGATGAATTAAGATAAAGATGATCAAAGCTGGCGGTAATAGTTTTTTTATTTTCTCTCTGTTTTCTCTCAGTAACCACAACGCTATCTCCAGGCTCAGGCCACACCAGAAGATGCAACGACACAGAGAAGGCCTACTGTGTGAATGGCGGCGACTGTTACTTCATAGACGGTGTAAATCAGCTCTCCTGCAAGTGAGTTATCTCGTCTGTTTGTGGGATTTACTGAGAATATTGAATTTTCTTTGTCAACTTCTCTTCTTTAAAGATTCCTTGACCCACAGTTTAAAAACTCCTTTCATGAAGTCTTTATTTTTTAATAATATTCCTCAACATCTGACTATAATTTTTTTATCCTGCTGTTTATTTTCCTGATAGCACTCGATCGCCATTCTTCTTTCTTTCAGCGGCAGCAGCAACACATCACAGGAAAATGCTGCCACTCTGCCTAACTACCCACCTGTTGTGTATTTTAACACTAATAATGGAGTGAGGCGGTGGTTTGCTCATCCTTTTAAGTCATGTTTAGTGTACATGAGGGCTGCACATTAAAAGCCCTTTCAAAATGTCATGAGTCACTGGTTTAGTAGTGAGCAAATATTTATGCCTGTTAGAGGCCCCCAATGAGGTAAATAGAATCATTGCTTACATTTGAGGTCCTTGGCAGAGGAGATCAAGACCCATGTGTAAAGTGCGCTGGAGGAACCGTGTATCTCTGCTTTTCAAGAAGAGAACGGGTTGACATTATCACAGAAACAACCTTTTTTTCTTTCTTTTTTTTATCTTTGACATTTACATTTTAGTTTGTGTTAGACTCAAGTTCAAGAAACATTATTTGGGAAGATGTTCAGGAGAAGTTAACATGTAAAATAAACAGTTTTCTTTCTTGTTTTTTTTTCTGTTTTTCGAAACGCTGACGTTTGTGTTTAGAGTTTAGAGAGTCGATCTTAGAAAATTAAAGAGACAAACATTTACTGGATCCAGCTTCTCAAATGTGAATATTGGCTGGTTGTCGTATATCAGAATAAACTGAATGTCTTTGCGTTTTGGAGTATATGTACGACAAAACAAGGAATTTCAATATGTCAACTTTTAAGTTTAGATTTAAAAAATAATAATATTTTCTTACATTCTATCCCTTAGTCAAGAAATAATAATCAGACTAATCGATCATGAAAATAATCATTAACTTCAGCCGTAATCATGATTTATTCAGCACAAAACCGTTTCGAGAGGCTGCAACTGTTACAACCAGTAAAAGCTAATAGTATATCATAACACAAAACGTGCACATTATCTCGTGTCATGGTTGTCAAATATTATGTTGCATGTTCTGTTGGACCATATGTCAGTATAGCATAAGTCCTTTGGCTGGTTTGATATAGAGCTGAAACATTGGCCGGGCTTCTGTGCCCAGTTGGCCCAGGGAAGAATGCTCGACAAGCAATGAGGACATGGCTGCAACAGCCGTTCAATACGCTGTGTACAAATTGGAGGCAGCAATAACTCAATTGCTGCAGCTAATTCACTCACGGCTGGGGCATGGGTCCAGAAAAGTTGGATAATGCAGTGAAGGCCTGCAGGGATTTGTTGCCCCACAGCCATCTCATTCAATATAGGCCAGGCTTCAGTGGGTATTACTCACTGGCTAAACAAGTCCTGCAGACAGCTAGCCCTACTTTTATGTCCGGCTCCTTCACTTTGAGGTATAAACTTTGTTTTGGGGAAAGGTAAGGTTAATAAATGACCCAAAGTAACTTACTCACTAAAGTAAAGTAAATTTATCAGTCAAAAATACAATATACACTGTAGGTAACTGTTTATATCAATTGTCCTTTTTATGTTAAGCAGAAACATAAAGTTTTTGTTTGGAAAATGACAAACACGATTAGTAGTTGCAGATTAACTTGCTGTCCAATGACTAATTGATTAATCGACTAATAGTTCCTTCTTTATTAAAGTTAATAAAAGCACTCTAGCAGTCTGTATTTTAAGGGAAAATAGAATAGAAGCAGGATTACTAACAAGGTGCAATGGGAATTTTTATTAGAAATTTGACCAAATCATCTCTAGGATTTAAGAGGTAAAAAAAAGAAAGGTATGGCTTGTGTAAGTCTACTCTCTATATAGTATGGAGAGTATTCTCAAGTACAGGTCCTGCTTCAGGTCTCCACACATGGTAAAACTAAATGTTACATGTGTATTTTTAGTCAAAGACTAATGAATGCTGACAATGATTTATTTCCCCTGTTTTAAACTAAAGATAAAAGAGTCATAATAGAGTTTGCAGCTGCACCATGGTGGATATTTGCACGCTCATCTGATTTTTAAATTATGTAGTGACAGTTCATTTCTTTCTTCTTTCAGCCAAGTTTCCTTGGTCTAGGTGGTGCTATCCCCCAGTTAAACACCATCACTCAGGATGAGGAATTATGTGTTGTGTTGTGTGAAACCAGTAATCATGAGCAATGACCTTTGTTGGATTGGTGGTCTAGTTGTGAGCGTGAGTGGAATGTTGGTGCCCCTAAAAGACCAACTGCTTATCCTAATGGGATTGTAATGAGGAAGTATGGTTTGGCCCAACACAGCTGATGGTGATAATACAGCAGTCCGTCTTCAGTTACAAAAATATAAAGCTACATGTCAGAAACCTCCACTCTGACTAATGTTTCAAAGCACAAGTAAACAGAGTTGTCCAATGCTGTTTTTTCCATTCAGAAATACTGTATCCACACATTCAAATTATGTCTCTTTTATAACTGGAAATATAAATTCAGACTTTTATTTCCTCTTGATTTCACTACTTTACCTCACTCTCCTCTAGTATCGGTTATAAAACTGTCTCATTTGCAGGTTATGACCACAGCTACCAGGCTCCCAACAGGCACCAAGAAAAGAAACCACATTACCCCATTTTCAGCTTTGCTGCACAGGCTCCCTAGGATTGATTTATTGATCACCTACAAAGCAGTGCACGGTTTATCCCCAGCTACATTCCACATTTTTGTCCATATACTCATGAACGTCGCTCCTCTCTCATCCCCCTTTGCTGTCAGAGGCCCTGAAGCCGTTATATTACCAGCCTTTTATATCATCATTTGAAACCTGTTTTTGTAAACTTGCATTTTACTCACCTGCTCATTTTATGTATTTTTATTTATTTCTATAGTTTTCCTTTTCACTTTTAAAAAAAATAAATAAATAATGATCGTTTGTTGCCTACACTTAAAAATAAAAATCTCTATCTCAGTAAAGTATTTTTGTTCAGGATTTGGTGTGTTAATGAACACATTATCACTGTGGTCATCTCCGTTTTCTGTGTTTTTACTTTTCTTTTCTTTTTTTTTGCTGTGTCCATATCGCTTCACTGTGACTTGTAACAATATGTGTGGAGGGGTGTAAATCCATGATATTTACAGTGCACCTCACTTCCTGTGTTTTTCTTTTCATAACACTTGTCCGCTCCTTCCCAGATGTCCGGCTGGATACTTTGGCCCACGATGCTTACAGACTGAACCACGGCGGTTGGTCATGCCCAATCCAAGTATGTTCACTTGATATGAGCAGCTGAGAACAGAGACACAGTTGTCACTGGATTACCTCTGTGGACTCCTGCTGCCCCGTCCCCAGTTCTTTTCCTCTTTCTCCTCCTCTTTCTCCTTCTCAGGTCAACACGCAATGAGCTGTGCACTACACCATGTACACGGTGGTGTCATCCATGGGAACACTCTGCTTCTGCTGTCCGTAGTTGTGCTGTTGTTCTAATTCTGTGTCTCTCTGCCTCTCTTTCTCCCTCCCTACCCCCCACCCTCCCTCCTCACTTTTCCTTACGCATACTCTCCTTTTCACTCCACCCTTTCCCTCTCTCCCTCTTTCTGTTTTCTTCCTCTTTCTCACTCATCCACCACCCATCTCGTCCCTCTCTTCCTGTGGCTTTGTTTCTTTCCATCAGGTGTCCAAATGACTTTACTGGTGATCGCTGTCAAACCTACGTTATGGCCAGTTTCTACCGTATGTCAATTTCCTCTTCTGTCACTCTGTCAGACTGTCCTTGTGTCATGCGTGCATGCTGGGTGTAGAAAAGACTGCATTCATTTCCTGTTATTACCTAATAGTTGTGTCTGTACCTCCTCTGATGACTCATTCACAAGCTGGCATAGTTTAGTGGAGTCTGTTGCTGTGTTTGTTCTGCATGTGATAGTGTGTGCCCTTTAGTGCATGTGTACTCCCAGAATACAAGCTTCTAGTGAACCTGATAGCAACAAATAGTGGGTGAATTTAGTTGCTTTGTGGAGGTAGATTTGCACACAGTCAGCTGCATGTACCAACACTGTCTAAAGGGAGCAGTTACTAATACCTTAACTTTGGCTCACTTACTGATGATGCTTGTTTATGCAATTTGCAACAAACACCAGCATGTGTGTATGATTTATTATAGCTGATCCATGGATGGAAAGGCAGGCCTGAACAATTAGCATTAACAAATAGGCATGACAGATAATTCACTCTGTTAGGTGGTGCACCAGCTTCACACAAAAAACACAATCTTTTGAGGGCCACTTGAAACGATCTGATTAGCTAAAGCTCATACTTTCTTCATAAATATTGTTATGAACTTGTATATGAATCATTTTAACAGCTAGTATGTAGATCACACATGAGCCAACATGACGAAATTCCACTTAGCCACTGTTTTTAAAGATAATTGTAATAGATAATTAAGGATTCCCCAAAGGTCTAATCATTTACAGCAAAAGTTTTAAATGCTACTGTTCTCACTTGCTGGGTCACAGTTGCTTTAAACTACAATATACATGCACTTACAAGCTAGACATGGAATCACCTCAAGCTGTTAAATAAAAGATGTCGGTTTTTTTTTTTGACTTGCACACTGAACATTGTTAAGTCCACACTAGAACATTCAGCAAATTGCATTTGTTGTTAACACACATTGCTTCAGATGCAGCAACAAAATGGTGCTCTCACAGCAGATTTCCTGCGAGTAGAGTTCACATGCTATACTAGTGTGCCGTGTCAAACATCTTTGCTAGCCTGGGGTAAGAGAAGTCAACCCTGCACCACCCTACACGGCAACATCAGCAAACACATCCATCAACAGCAGATTTATACCGAGATTAAACGAAGGTTTGTGGAGAACTACTTGATCGGCTTGATAGATCTTGCCCTTCAGGTTTTTCACTTTGAAAACCATCCACGCGCTCTGGAATTACGTTTATTCTGATTATTCACTTGTTACTGCAGTCTTAATTATTCACACCTCAGTGTCACCTGTTGGTTGATTACTTCTAAAGTGTCTCAAGTGCTATTGAAAGTAGTGAGTGACCTGAGATTAATGGAACATAAACAACAGAGATTTCACATAGCTTGGACTTGGTTCTCTGAGGAAAACATATACAAAGTTAAAGATACTGTATAATAATATAGAATAATATAATAATATAGAATAATTCATGTCGGTATAACAATAGCAAAGAATCCTCTGCTGTCCTACTGCATGTTAGTCAGCTTCATGTGTTCACAAGCTCATGTGGTTACAATTCAACATCGCATTACAGTTATAAAGTCACTGCATCTGCTTTTGGAGTTGAGTCTCATCCTGTAATCTGACTTGTAGAGCTTACACATACACATACTGTTTGTTGTATGTTGGCTCAAAGTACAATGCGAAAAACCCCCTTCTTAACTACGAGTAATTTCATCTCGCATTAAGTTGTAATGCACTGTGCTGAAATTACTTGCTTTTTTGGCAGAGTAGACAGTGGTGTGTGGGAGCTCTTTTTCCTGCACTCACTCCTGCATTTCTGCATTCTGTATAACTTCAGCGCAGCTGTGCGACTGCATCAAGGACAGCATTTATTTCCAGTTCTCATCTAGCCACACGAACAAAGACCAAGCTTTGATTACTTGGTTTACATGCTTGTATGTTAAAATCAAAGGCCTGGCTATTTGTAGTCAAGAAATCAAATTTAAAAGTGAAGGAGAGTGAAAACAGTGCCATTTAATGAAACCAATGGGGGCGACAAGATGTATTCATACATGTTAACGTTCTAAACTTAATTAAAAGCCTTCATTTCAAATAGAGAATATTAAGCCCACGTGTAGGATGTAATATTGTTCTTTTGCATATAGCTGTTAACCTCTTGGAGTTTCAAAAATGCAGATCCACAGTAGAAATCAGGAGCCAGCATGATAGATGTGTTAAATGTCGACTTTAAAGTGAGCATTACAGCTACACCATAAGGTTTTTTTTGTGTTTTTTTTTTTTCAACGCTACACAACAGCTATTAATGGCTTCTCGAATATTTCACATTTTCTACTCTCAATTAAGGAGAATACATCAAATTTTCTCTCAAAGAGCAGGCACATGTGTGCACACACGTCCATTCCATACTCACAGACCCGCCTCCTGGAGGGGCGCCTCCCATCCCCAGGAGATACCAAAGAGAAGGAGGATGGCTTCAGCTCCTCAGCCATAAGGGTTTGGCTTAACAAGAGCATGTTGTCATAAGAACAGCTGGGACTCGCTTCAACCCAAGTAAAGCAAGTGAGCTGCCAGAGATATGGATTCAGCTGGTTGGTGCAGCCTCCCTATGGCCTCACTTTGCTATATAATAGGAAGTCCAACTATAATTCTTCTTATTCAGTTATTCAGTGTGATTAGTCAGATACTGTACACAAACAAATCTTTTTTAACTTGCCTGTTCATGTGATGGGCGTGTTTGGGAACTGACAGTGAGCATTTTTTAGAAGACAGAAAACTGAAAGCACAGGTAATCTCAGTGGATGACGCATATTTTCCTGATACAGTAGTAATAATTAAGTTTCTATGCACCTAATATGTCCTATTTCCATTAGGAGATTTTGTTTGTCATGTAACGAAGTAGCGCCTTCTGCAAACCTGAAACCACTATCACTATCAAAAGCAACAATAACACTGGACTGTGTTGAGACATACAGTACATACAACATCCAGAGCCGAACTCCAGAACTGTTGTAGCTTGATTACAATATATTCTATATATATATATATACATGTATATATATGTAAATCCAAAAATGTGTGAACAACTGTAGTTGTGTAGTCATCTAGGTTTGCGTAGTGTGGTTTGAAGTGTGTGTTGCATGCTGTAAGCGTGTTCTGGTGTCTCGTCTTTGATGTTACTGACCTTGTCGTTCTGACAATAACTGACAATTGTATGTTGTCTCAGTTGCTGTAATGCCTATTTTTGTTTGCTCCACTACATGTTAGAAGGTGCCACTTTCTTAATCTGGTCTTTTTTTTCCTTTTTTTTTTTTCTTTTCTTCCAACTGTCAACCCTCTGCACTGGCAGAGCATCTTGGGATTGAATTTATGGGTATGGAACAATCCATTTTGATTCTCAGTCCTAGCATAGCTCCTAAATAGACGTCCTTCGTTTTGACATGCTCCCGTTTCGTCTGTGGTGTGAACTTTAAATCATATCGTCCCTCAATTAACCGATCGATCTCTCGACCAATCATACCATAACTCATTAGAATGACAAACCCCTCAGTCACTGCAACTGATCCTCCATCAAGCATCATTAACATGGATGTAATGACCTGCACCTCTCATACGTGTGTGATGGAAAAGTAGAACTATTAACTAAGTTTAACTGAGCATACTTTCCTTTTTCTACTGATTTTTTTTCCCCCCTCATCCCATCTGTAACAAGCATGATATATCATGTTTGTATCTACCAGATGTCTTTCCTCAATTCTCAACTCTACCTGTCTGATCCCTTTAGTCTCATGCTTTTAGTGTTTGTCTTGATATGCCATCTTTCTTTTTATTTATGTGTGATCGTGTCCATATTTCTTGCACCCTGTCGTTAGTATAGCTGAAATGTAACTTTGAAGTATAAAATATAGTATCTGTTTTACTGGTTTGAATTATCCTTCCAGGAGTAGATGCTGTGATGTGAGCATGCAATGCTATATTTAGAAACTACAGTCATGTTTTCCTTCTTTCTGCCGCTATTTCCATCCATCTTGCTTTCTGCTACCTTTTCCAGAAAAGTGCTTTAGCGGTTGAGAGTGTAAAATAAAGGCTAGAGGCGTCTTTTCAGAGATCATGTTATTATACAAGTGCATTTCTGTCCTGGACCATGAGGACATTGTGCTGCTACACCAACAGCAGTATCATTTCCTCCGTTGAAAAATCATAATCAGTAGCTAAAACAATATTGGTAAAATATTACATTTAGTTTGCTGCTATAAATAAACTCACTTCAGTGATTTATTTATGGCATCAGAAACTTGACACAAACTGGCAGGTCGATGTAAAATGGCTGCTGGTGAATGAAAGGAGGAAACCTCAGATGGAAGTAGTTGTACAAATTCAATTCTTTCTTGTTACATTATTTATCAGGGACCACACTACCTCTTAGCTCCATCATTTTCCCCTGGGGAAACCAAGAGTCTACCTCAACCTCACAGAAGCTCTTCTCTAGAAAAGGCATCAGCATCAGTCAAGATTTCTCCAGTTTCATATTTAATGATATTTCATTTGAAAATTCACTTATTTCATGAATTACTGTAACATAAAATCATTGAGCTTACTAAATCCCTGAGTAGATGAAGACATCTGCACCATGATAGGATGAGTAATACAACATTAGAGTCAAAGAATCATATCAAACACGGCACATTTCCAATTCACACGCATTCCATTGCATTGATGCAATACTGCACAGTTTGCAGCTTCTAATGATCATCAATTATAAGCCTCAACCATTATGATATCATATATGATTTGAAGTTACTCAGATGATTTTTAGAGAAATACAGTTGCTTAATAGATTAGTCTAACTACTGCTGAGCCCCTGCCCCCACCTACGCCGCCTTACTGCAGCACAGGGAGCAACGGCATCTGTTGTATTTGTGATTATGCGAGAGGAGAGGCTTGACTGTGAAGTGAGTTGTCAGGGAAGGGAAGATGACGCTTCATACTGCTCAGGATTTAGTCCAAAAAAAAAAAGAAAGAAATGTAGATGTACAGTGAAAAAGTGGGAACGTTTACCTTCAAGAGACTGATTTTTTTTCCTGTTATTTCTCTCACTGTGCACTGTGTGTGTGTGTGTGTGTGTGTGTGTGTGTGTGTGTGTGTGTGTGCGTGTGTCTGTGCGTGTGTCTGTGCGTGCGTGCGTGTGCATGCGTCTGTGTATTTGTGGGTGTGATGTTGACAGAGGCAGAGGAACTCTACCAGAAGAGAGTCCTGACAATCACGGGTATTTGTGTGGCTCTGTTGGTGGTGGGCATCGTGTGTGTGGTTGCCTACTGTAAAACCAAGTAAGTCCTGCTGATAAATGGATCAGCTCTTGATTTTTGAACATCTAGACTTTGCTTTCAGATTTCTATTACCACCTGCATTTTTATTGAAAATAACATTGTAGTGTAAACTGAAGCTGCCTGTATGGTGCAGTATAGGTGGGTCTAATAGGTTCTTGTGTTTACTGTCTTAAAATGTGGTCTTTCTATATTATTAGACATATTTATAGGTTTAACAGTTAATCTAGTTGTTGCATCAAGTAATAAAACATAATGTTAAATCACTGCTTATGCATGTATTCAAGTTAACCACAATAATAAGAGAGAGAGTGACCGATATTTGTTCAACAGGAAACAAAGAAAGAAGATGCACAATCATCTGCGACAAAACATGTGTCCAGAACATCCCAATCGTAACCTAGCTAACGGACCCAATCACCCAGGACCAGGCCCAGAGGAAATCCCCATGGCAGATGTGAGTTTCTGAAAGTATTTGTGACGTTATTAATGTATACGCACACAGATGTACACCAAATGGTTTAAAGCTTCTCCTTTTTTCACAATTGTCCATCTGCCAAATCCATTATTCTTTTTTTTCTTTTTTTTTTGGCCTGACACAGTACATATCAAAGAATGTCCCTGCAACTGAACGAGTCATACGGCCTGCAACAGAGGGATCCTTCCCTGCCAGCCATGCCTCTTCCAGATCTCACAACTCTTCCACACGAGCCCATTCATCGACTCACAGGTAAGAATGCACCATGCCGTGTTTTTCCCTGTCACATGTAGCTCAGAGGATATTCAGCTCTATCGTTTTATACAGATACGGAATCACACAGAAAGCGATTTGGTTAATTGGTTAAACACCAAGTCTCTGGAAGCAGTTGCGTCAATTGTCAAGCTTCCTTTTTCAAAAGTGAAGCACACTGGGACAAGCTGGGGTGTGTGCATGTTAACACTTTTTTAACTTTTTTATTTGTCAGACATGAGGAACGGACATGGAGCCTGGAACACTCTGACAGTATCCTTTCTGACTCGCCGGGAATGATGTCATCATCTGTGGGGACCAGTAAATGCAGCAGTCCTGCGTGCATGGAGGCGCGGGCACGGCGCGCTGCACACTGTGGTTACTCTGACCCCCATCGGCCGGGCCTACAGTATGGGGACTCCTTCGACTCGCTGGGAGACTCTCCGCACAGCGACAGGTGGGAAACAGGCCTGCGTGGCTGATATGGCTCTGGGTTTGTCATGAACATTTTGAGAAGTTTCCTCTCTCTGCTGGTTCTCTCTCAGCCTCGAGAGGCCAGTCAGGGCACTCTGAGAGACTCAGTGGAAACTGACACTCAGCAGGCATGATGATGAAATACGCTAAGGTAGGCAAGAGTGAGAAACAGTGCTTATTTCAATGGGAACTCTGTGCATACAGCTACTGTAACGTTATTCTCTGGCCAGGATGTAATTCTGATTGGCAAAAGTGTTCCCTTTAATTTTCTTTAAGGAACAATGTGACATTTTGGGGAATGCATGTTTGCCATCTTGCCCAGAGTCACATAAGAAAATATTGATTTCATCTCTGCATCACAGAGACAGGTCTAGGGTGTGTTTAGCTTTGCTTAGCACAAAGAGTAGAGGCAGAAAGAAGCAGTTAGCTAGCTCTGTCAGAGGTGAAGAAATATGACTTTCAACAACTCCAAAGCCATCTATTTATCCTGCACCTATTTCTGTACTGAAGGCTCAGAGATATCAATCTTCTCAAGTGATCTGGGCAGGATGGCAAACAAGCACATTTCCCAAAAATGTTGCACTGTTGTTTTAACATGAACTAGAAGTTGACAGCTCAATTGATTCACTAAATAATGTGCTTTCAGGTCTTCCCCATGCTCTCTATTTCAGTAGTACTCAATGTCATGCATGACCTGAATCTGAAGTTGCTTTTTTAAGTACCTAAGATACACTCACTGGTTTTGTTATAGCGTCCAATAGTGACCCCCAAATCCCAGAATGCTCTCACTACTTACCGCTGATGTTATGAATTCCAACACAGTTCACAGCTGAGTGTCCATCACTCATTAGCAGTGAGCTGTGTGGAAATCTTGGGCTATGAGAGCAGGATTGGTTCCAGTAGTAAAATTACATGTTACATGTTATACAAGCATCAACACAGCCCCCTAAAAAAAGTTAGTCAGGTGTTTTCAGCAATAGCACACATATTTTTTGAAGGAAGGGAATGATGGCCAAGTTCGGTAGAGCAAGCCTGTCTTTGCCGAAGACTCTGTGTTTAAGCTTTGAAAAAAAAAACAATGCTAAAGGTTGCGATACATGAGGACAACCTGCCCTTCTCTTTCATATAATAGGCCCTCATTTTGTTTAAAATTGACTGAATCACTATTGACCTTAATGTCTTCCTTCATGGAACACTGATTGTGCTCATCATCAGCTGATCAATGTGAGATGGGTCACCATTAGAAACGGCACTGTACGATGATGAAGAAAGGAAGAAAAAATGCCCAGCGAAACCACATAAGATCAGTAGATAGGCTGGTATTATATTCAGACGTTAACATCTCACAAAGCAGATATGTTTCAATGAGATTAGCTTTTAACGAAGAAAACACATGGTCACATTCTCATTCTCACACAAGTGACATTACACAAGTAACTGAACTCTTGCTCAGGGTTGTCATAGAAAACAATTCTTTGTGCAAGTGCGGGTCACATGTATGTAGTACATGTAACAAAGTGAAAATAGAAACAAATCTGTGTCAAACACATAATAGTTCCGTTTATTGAAAAAGGTGTGCACTTCAGAAGCAACCAGTGGATCAGTGTGAACACTGATCTCAGACAATCTGCAACAAAGATGCACAAGGGTGAACCAACTAATGCCTCTTATGACTTTTGCCTGAACATGTTTTTAGTACATAACATTCAGGATTGCCAGACACACAATCAGGACCGGATGTAGAGTTAACGTAACACATTAACAACTTGTGGAGCTGAAGTTGTGCTCGATACATGGCTGGCTTTTTCTGCAAGAAGCATACTTGAGGTGTTTAATATGCAAATCAGCACGTGTACAGCTTCACACAAACAAGTGAGCCAAAATGAAAACAATCATTCCAAAAGCCTCCAGTGATTTATTGTTCTTATCTTAAAAAAAATATTTTAAGACCTCTACAACTGCCTTCATGATTGATAGTGTCAACTCTAATGTGATATAAATCACAAGAACAAGACACAGGACTACTGAATGTGCTATGCAGTGTTGATAATAGTTCTCTGAATAAATGTATTTATTTAACTCAAATAACCAGGGCCTAAAAAATTGTCAAAAACTAACTAGACAATATACACCTTGCTCTTTTGTGTTCTAAGATACTTACGAACTCTTAAGATATCAAGAATACCAGCATACAGTGAAGCAAGCATGTTTGCATGAATAGGGGTTTGGCGACTGAGTTGTTTTGCAGAGCCAGATTGCATAACCAACATCCCCTCAGAGTCTTCCCAGGTAACAAACGCCTCTTCCATCATGGCGACAGCTTCTGCATCAGCTGAATCAGCAGTGTTGTGGGAATATCTCAGGCTTGTGTCTCACACGGTCTGTTGTAGTTTCCTAAAGGCAATAAACAGACATTCCAAACACTCAGACCCACAATGATTCACTATCAGTGAAAGTTGCCATTGAAGTTTCCTTTGAAAGTTATTGGCATTGATGTTTTGTTGGTTTATGATTATGGTATTATGACTGTTGAAAAACTTGTGTCTTTACATCTGTGATGATACCCATGAGTTTATGTTTTAACAATCGAAATTGTGCCCACATGTTCAGGACACATGTTTGAACAAGGCTTCCTAGAGTAACAACCACAGTTAATATGCGAGTTGATAGCAGTTCATTAAAAACTAAAACGGGGGTGAAGGGCATTGCAACATAACATAACTCAATAGCTGACAGTATATTATACAGAGGTAAGCATGAGTGGTAATCAGCATATACACTAACATGCTAAAAAAGATAAAGTCGCCAATGTGTTGCTAAAAAGTGGTAGAGTAAATATTAGTTCAAAGAAAAGCCAGACTTTAAAAAGTCTGTTTTTAAAAGTGTTGTAAAGTAGGACACTGGGTTGGGTTGTTGGGCTGGTTGGTCCAGAGCCTAGGGGTTCTGAGGAAGACATTTTAGCTGCTCCAGCTGCTCCTGCCTGAGGACCTCAGGCTGGGCTTTGACATAAACTAGATGAAAGCTCAGATATAGCCAGGTGATTGTAAAAGAAACACATAATGTTAAAATTGGTTATTCAAATTAAGTTTATATGAGATTTTAGCACCAGTATCAATGGGTATAACAATAATAATTCGCTTTTGCAAATTATCAGCATCAACCACTGTTATGTTTATATATTAGAATCACCCAAGAATGTTAACAAAGCAAGTGGATCTGGGATAGATCCCTGTGGGACACCACAGGAAGTTTTTGCCAATGTTGACAATAAATTTTGCATTACTGCCCTTCACTTCTGAAGAAGTGAAGGGCAATATAGTAACACAAAATGACCAACTACAGTATTTTAGATTCTCTGCTGCAAAAGTTTCATGAAAGTAAAATGTAATCTTACCAAGTGAATTCAATTTGGGAAAAACCGTACTCTCAGTACAATGAAAGAACTTAAAATCATGAAGAATTTTCTTAAACAGATAATCACTGTGACTAAAAGTCAGTTGGGAAAGATACCTATCTTACAGCAGTTCAGCTCAAGTGAAAATCTAAGCTAAATCCATGTATGGAAAATGCCTTTTTCCACCTTTTTATGGCACGGAAGGTCGAATGTCCATTCAGTCAACAGATTACCTATGAAACATTCAAACTGTTTTTTGTGCATTCCCTTTCTTTCTCTCTGTTTTTGCTGTTCTCTACTTAATTATTTCCTCCCCTCTGTATTTACCACAGATATGTGTCAGCCCTGACGACACCAGCCCGCCTCTCGCCAGTGGATTTCCATTACTCATTGCCCCCGCAGGTGCCTACCTTCCAGATCACATCCCCCAATGCCAGCCATGCCATGTCTCTCCCTCCTGCTGTCCACAACCCCTACCCTCTGGAGGATGACCAGCCTCTCCTGCGCCGCTACCAGGTGCCCCTACACGATGCCCAGTGCCAGGAGCCCTACCGGCAGCAGCGTCGTACCTATCTAAATGACAGCAGGGGAAGCCTGCCCTCCAGCCCCTACCGGCTGGCTGAGGACGAAGACTATGAGACCACCCAGGAGTATCTCTCCTCTCGGGAGCAACCAAAGAGAAGTGGGTCCAGTGGAACTGGTAGCCGACGCTGGCGGAGATCCAGACTGAATGGCCACGTGGCCCCACGTGGATACGAGGCATCTCGGGACTATGGGTCTCGAAGCTGCCTAACAGATAGTGAGTCAGAGGAGGACGGCGAGAGCACGCCCTTCCTCAGTATGCAGAACATGAATGCCGAGCCCTCCACCATCTACAGGCCGGTGGACAGTCGGACTTCTCACTCATCGGGGCGGCACAGTGGGCATGGGAACATGCATACAAGACTGACACACTCACGCTCCAAACCGGACAATACACCCCATTAAAGAGTGAAAATGAACCAACAAAAATCAATATAGTATAGACCTGCATCTATAAGAAATATTTTTATTTTATATAACTGACAGATATTCTAAACAAATGAAATATTTATTTTCATTTTAGCAAAAGTTGTCTACTAGTTAACAGCAAAGACTTTTTTATAGGGAAAACTCTATTTATATGTACATTTTGATTTACAGCATAAAAAGATGTGCCAGTTTTTTCACAACGTAAAAAATAGAGTAATATTGTGGTGCCTTTTGCTGTATGCCGATGCCAGAGGGCCAGTGGAGGTTTTTGTAGCCTTTCTTATATGGACGCCTCATTTTTTATACACGTTTATGTTTTTTTTCCTCTCTGGTTTCCTGTTTTACTTTCTTTCCAAGTTGCATTCTTTGAGGAGTCTAGCCCCACTGGAACATAACCCCTTCCATATCACGCAATATAAACCACTACAACATAAAGTGTATGTTTACATTAATATGATTTGCCTGTAGGGTTTATGATTTGAGAATTAATAGAACGCCTGATAAATACAATGTAAATCCTTTATGCCCTCTGACTAATGTCTACCAAGAGAAAGAGCGAGGGAAAGAGAGAGAGAGAGAGAGAGAAAATGTGTGTGTGCCCGTGTGTGTGCATGTGTAAATGCCTCTGTGCGTGCGTGTGTGTGCGCGCGTGTCAGTTTGCTTGCATGTATTTGTGATTGTTAGATGAATTTCATTGTTTGTTGTGGTGACATGAAATGTGTGGGTCTACTGGTGTCTCAGCAGAGCTGACAGAAGAGTCTCTCAGAGGTTCACGGAATAGTGCTTTATCAGAACAGTGACCCCCAGTGTAGGTGGACAGGTAAGGCTGCTGTAGGGTTGTATGTTATGCAGGTCATTGCTTGATGTGTTTACAGCTATTCTGCCCCCTTTCCCAGCCTGCCCCAGTTAAGTCCCTTTTATTTCTCAGCAGGTTTTCTTCATGTTAGCCTGTTATGAGGCCAACAAACACTGAGCCGCTTGGCACAGGGTGACCCCTGCCATCAGAGGTGGTGGCAAAACAAAAAGATTGCATCTGTTTTCACTCAACTCCGACCCTAATCCCATGCCTCATCATCCTTCTGTGTCCATTCTGTTTTTGTGGCTCGTGTAAAAAGGCCACACAGTGTCTCAGGATTTCCACATGCCCCACCCCACCCCCACCTCCCACCCCCCCGCTTCCACCTAAATCTCCGTCTTCACCCTCTTCCTCTACTTAAGGTCTACCTAAGACTAAGGTTCTCAGATGATGAGGTCCTAAATGTTAACATACAGTCTACCAGTTCCCTGAACACTCCCATACAGAGAGAAGGAAAGTCAAGTGGAAGCAGCTCAGTGGAGAAGAGTACAGAACATACTAGACAATATAAATGAAATAGCTGTGAAACTTTGGAGGATCATACAATGCAAAAATATGCAAACTTTCTATTTTGCTGTTTGATTACATCATTTTCTAAGAGGTGACTGTAGTGTGTTGTGTGTGAAAAAACTATGTGATGCCTATAGTGTAGAATGAAATAATGTGATATAAATGCATATTTACATGAGTTATTTTTAAAGCCATTATGCAGCCATCTATCAAGTTGTCAGCCTTTCTTGTTCACTTACTCATGTCCATTGAATGACTGTGTCCATGAATGATTTCATCACTTGGTTTAGACCGCTCCACTTTACATGCACACTCCCAAGTAATGTCAAATAGCATCCAAATAGTGTTTCCTCCAATAGTACTGTGTACTGCTTTGTCTTGTTGACAGATCTTGTCATTTCAAATTTAGTCCGTAAATGATAATACTTTTAAAAGTAAACAAAATCATTTAAGCCCTCTGTCCTCCGCTGAAGGAAAAGTAAATATTTAAAAGATAATTCAAGAAATGTCAAACCCATTACAAGTGACTCAGTGAGAGAGGACAGTTGATGATGTTTCATCGCTGTTGGTATGTTTCTACTCCTCGTTAAAAAAAAAAAAAAACAACTGAATGCTGAATTATCACATGGTTATTGGTTAAAAAACTCTTAAAAAGATTGATCTGCAATTCTATCTCTTATATGGTAAATGCACAGTGGTATTGTTATAGAGAATGGTCCTTGGTCACACCTCACTTGCAGATATTTCAGAATTTCTCACCTCTGGGTCTAATTTTTTATGTCTGAAAAATGCAAAAGACAGTGCTCCTCTAGTTTAAATGTGATACTCCCTTCACTTTGCCAGTCCTCTCACCCAATTGAGATGCTACCAGGCACGTCTTGCCAGTCTCTTCTGTTTAATTTTATGACCCCCCCCCCCCACCCACACACACACACACACACACACACACACTCATGTGGGTTGAGAGGTAGCCGGGAGTCACACCACACACTCCACCTCACCCCCTCTTCATCCACCACCCCCACCTGACCCCACCCTCGCTTGAAATGTTTGAACACCTCTCCTCTGCATGTCCTTGTGGTCAAGGTTAGATGGGTGCATGGTAAAAAAGCAGCAGACAATTCTTTTCCAGTCAGTGAAAGTGTATTTCATTTAACATTCAGCAATAAAAAAGAACCTTTCCCCATGTCATTCCTGAAATATGCTAGAAAAAAAAAGAAAAACAATGCGAGATTGTCATAGATTGTAAAATAAAATGAAAACTGAATCCACCTGTTCATATGAGAAAATAAATCTTTATTCATATCATTTTACGATGTAGTTATTTCTGTAGAAAGCTGTGCTCTGCATTTTGATTCATCATTTATCTGGGCTTAAGGTTGGACTCATCTGGCACAATGTACACAATACACAGTGTGTCTCAGGAGTACACACATAAAATCTGATTGTGAAATAGGATCTATTTAATATGGTAATCTGGGGGTTATAAAATATAACAAAGCTATTTTAGATGGTAGTTCTACTCTCAGGAGTGACAACTCATACTTAAATGGCAGACACACATAAAAGCACACATCCTGCATGAGAGCTGAACACTGTAAAATTATATAACTGTTTTAAAAGGAAAACACACGAGGCTATCCTCAAATGAAGAGGAAAAATCTTAGTTGATTAAGTGTTCCTGAATTGAATCTACATCTTTATGATCATCCATCCTCAGATGACTTCAATTATGCAGATGGATGTTATAATGACCACTTAAAAACCAAAGCATATTTGATAAATATTTCAAAATTGCCCACTGCATATTGAAAAAAAAAATCTTGAATGGCAAATTGTCAATTGATCAATCAAACTGATTCGATAGAGCTGCTTTGTCCAGCAGATTTTGAAAACTTTAAGAATAGCTCTTCCCTTTTCACTGTGTGTAGATATTCCAATGGTTTAGTTTAGCTGATGCATTAGCATCAATACACCACTAGATGGTGTCACAGCAGCAAGATTCTTAAACCATCACAACCAGAAGTGTTCAACCTTTGCAAGATGTGATTGCTTTGTATCCAGTTGTATTTTCGCATTTAATAGAAATGCACCATATAGATATGACAGTGGTGTTTATGGGAGACCGTTGGTAGTGAAACTGAACAAGGCTGACTGAACATTTACTTCTGATGCATCATAGCAAATATGTGATATTAATACTGGCAAAATTCCTCCAGTTTTAAAAGACAGTTCATTATTTTTGTGCGCTTCATAAGTGCAGTAGAAATGTAATGTTTTCATATTAAACATTACATTAACTGTTATTTTTAATAGTTTATTCATGCTGTATTTCAAGTGGAAATCCATCAAACACAATTTTAATTTTCACTTGTCAAAATATGTTTTGGCTCAAATTGGTATTTCTCTGTGGTGGAGAAGATGGGGAAAGGCAAACATCACTAAGTGAAAACATGAACATAAAAATCAACTGAATTCGTGAAATTATTTTCTCATCGCACTTATCACAGGAAGAATGATGTTCAAAGTAAAGTCTAATTCGGCTGCAAATCCAAACTTATCCTCACCTCTCCTTTTATTATACTTCACTATATCTTTCAGGAGTGAGAAACCATCCCATTCAATGAATTTTGCCCACATTTATTTACACAATGAACACAGATGCTTCTGTGAACATCCAATCATGCTCTGTGGCGGGTATTAAAATGAGCTGAGCAGGCCCAGTTTATTCTGCTTTTGTATCAAGACGACAAGATGAAAATATCTAAGTGACTTTGAAAAGGGCTTCACTGTAAGGTCATGAGTTGGCAGGAGCTTCAGTCACAAAGTCTTTCTATAAAAACAGTGACTAAAGTGACATCTGCATTTAGAACTACAGGAAAGACATCAGTAAATGGGGTCGGATATATATTGCGGTCGTTAGAACACGTTTGATGACCGTGATGCTCGAGCATTAGTGCGATGTGCAAGGAGAGAAACAGAAAAGCAAGTCTTCCTCAGGTGACCGAGATTGTCAATGCAGGATGTGGTCAGACTGTCAGCAAGAACAGTTTGTCGAAAACTGCATAGAGAGGGATATCATAGTGGGGCTGGAGTGTATAAACCCCTCATTACAAAGATGAAAGCACATTTGAGAGTTCAGTGGTGCAAAAACCATCAGCCCTGATCTACAGAGATGTGGGAAAAGAAAAGTGATACGGTCAGATGAGTCATCCTTCACCATATTCTGTCTACACCAAGAGAGTGGTACAGGCTTGAATGCTTGACCCCAACAGAGGGGGGATCTGGTGGCTCTATTATGATGTGGGGGGCATTTTGCTGGCATGGTTTGGGTCCACATGTTTTTTTTAGAGGGAAGGGTCACTGCAATTCAATACAAAGCTGTTCTGAATGATCCCCTTTATCCTGTAATGACACATTTCTATCCTGATGGGAGTGGTCTCTTGCAGGACGACGATGCCCCAATCCATAGGACACGAGGGGGTCACTGAATGGTTTGATGAGTATCAAAATGATGATGTCATTACTATGCTATGGCTTGTTGCGGTCACCAGATCTCAACCCAGTTAAACAACTATGGGAGATTTTGAAGCGACGTGTTGGACAGCGCTCTCCACCTCCATCGTCAGAACATCAAATGATTGAATATCTGTCAGAAGAATGGTGTTCATCCCTCCAGTAGAGTTCCAGAGACTTGTAGGAGCATGAAGCTGTTCTGGTGGCATGTGGAGGCCCAACACCTTACTAAGACACTTCATGTTGGTTTTTCCTTTAATTTTTCACCCGTATGTATATGAATACCTATGATTTAGTTTGTCCATTAAAAGTCCTGCAGACATTGGTTAGACTGTGAGACTCAGGTTTAATAAATCAACACTCAGGGTCAGGTTAAAAAGTATGCTTTCCCAGGGAAAAACATGACATGACATACTGTAGGTTTACTGATTTATTTCTTTATTTCAGAAGCAAAGGATCAGGCCCAGACAGTGAATGACTGAGACAGACAAATTACCTTTTTTAAAATTTATTTGTAGCTGTTGCTGTTGTGTTTCTGTCTCCCACTGGGTGATGCTGTTTTCTCTGCATTTAAATTGAAATCCTTTATTTCTTGTCCCTGACTAACAGGTTCCTCATCTGTTTCAGTTCATTTACCTGACAGTGACTCAGCCCATTCAAATGGGACCGTAATACCAAAACATGCTGTGTACAGGTTTAACAGACCACAAGAGAAGAAAGACACAGAAGACATTAATGAAGAGATGTTGATTTTAATGAAAATATGTTTTTGTTTACAAATGCAGAGTTGTATATAAAGGAATAAGAAGTTATAAAAACACCAGTAAAAGCATAGTCTTTAACTGGCAGAAGGATCATATATAGAAATCATTCTTTTTTTTACACATATATTTAAAATATAAAACACAATTGGCCCAAAGTGAGACTTAAGTCCCAAAAGCTACTTTATAACAAATAAACATAGGTCTGATTGTTTGCAGCTATTCATTTCACTGTATTGACCTCTCCAAAAATAACATAGCAACATTTGTGCAGCAGTCATAAGACACAATATACTCTTCATGGAAATCAAACAAATAAACAGGCTGGAGAAAAAGCAGTACCCACTCTACTTTCATTAACATGGCAGCAAAAACATCAGGAGTACAATACAGCTGCCCTCAGGCAGCCTGCTTTAGGAGATTCGCCTGGGTGTCTTGCAAGATTATTGCTTCCTTTGGTGACGTTTTGGAGTTTTTCCCAGATCCCCTGT